ACAAGTGCTATAGTTGTTGCATATTGGAATTACTTAAAATTTCACTTAAAACATACCATCTTTTAAATGTGTCCAACAAACTCTAAATAAGAACCACAGCAAACTGAAAATGACTTTAATCCATCAAAACCAAGAGAACAAACTCGCCTTTAACAATAAAAAATATTGCATTATTCCCTTTTCCTCCTTGAAGTCGCATTTCCATTCTACTTTACCCACAGAATTTTTTCTAAATATAATTTGACTTAATGCTTGAAAGGCTTTTATGAATCTCCACATTATGCTTTTCACAACAAAGTATACATAAAATGATGTTTTTTAAAAACGTCCTGGGACTGGAGCTTAAAAGCATTCGATTTGCTTTCAGTCTGAGCTATCATTACTAATGCACACGATTGATCCAAAGAACATTAACAATTATTTATAAAAATGTTAATATTGTTAACAGGGAAAAAGCAATTTCACTGGGAATGCATTTGTGAAGAAATGGAGAGGATTTGTTGAGTCCTTCAATTAGTCCATTTATCTATGGATGAGTACTACCCACTGCTTATGATAAAAACTGGTTTAGCACCAATTATATGTCTGTGTTATTTTATAGATGTAAACAATAAGAAACCTTGTCTGTGTAGGTCTACATAAAATGAAGGGGATTTTTATCAAAAGTTACTTTCATCTATCATCTTATAGCTGGATTAGGTCTCCTTCAAGATTATTGAAAACCAAGAAGTCAAATTACCCAAGTTGCACAAAGACATGTTTCGGGCTCCAATTATCATTTCCTCTACCCGTGGGCTGGTATTTTCACAGTTCTTTGTGTCGGGATGCTGGCTTCACATCCTAGGACAGCTCAGCAGAGCAGATCCAGGATGGCAACAGCTTTGCCCTTTTCCTTTGCAAAGCAAGCGAGTGACCGTGAGAAGTGAGATGGAAAAGTTGGCATGGCGAAGTCAACGTTGAACAAATCAGTTTCCAGAAGGGTTCATAAAGGGGTAGAGAAGCAGGAAAAGATCTCCTCAAACTAGCATGCCTTTGTAGTTCTTACAGGGTCTTTGGGGCCAGCTCTTTGCTAGTCATGTGTGTTGCTGTCATTCTGCCCGTTTGCAAGCTTTATAGAGCTTCGACTAACATGGAGTCTGTACAACTTGTACGTCTGGAGCAGACATAATAGGAGAGGTAGCAAGTTAAACAAGGAAGCATAATGCTTGTTCAGTTTTCTTGAATGGAAATCCTTTTTTTTTTACTTTTATTTTTATTTATTTATTTATTTATTAAATTATTTAAGATTTCTGCCTCCTCCCTGCCATGGC